TGCATGTCAGTAAACGCATCGTAGACCAGCTGTAGTACCTGGTTGTTCCACCAGGTGGAGCCTCTCCCTGTTTAACACTGAGCTTAGCTAACAGCGGCACCATGACAGAGGCTTCATGGACTCGTGTGCAGAAAACAGACTAGCTGACGGTGACGGCGTTCCTGTAGCTGAGCGGCTAATAGAGTCTATTTTGTGGTAAACATGAAGTATCGCTGATTAAAAACGTCTTTATTGGCACATAGATGAATCATTCAGATTATTGATTATTGATTGATAGTGTGGCCGACTGTTGGTTAAGAAAATTTAAATGTCACAAAATCAGTTTCTTCGACAGGAATGAATGTTTCCCACGACATCATAGAAACTGTTCCTTGGTTACGGTGACGTGTTGGACCTGCTCACATCGTGGACACTATAATAATTATCACATTCATGACTGTGAGCTGATTATGAAGCTTCTCCTGGTTTTTACTCCCTTACATCCCCTCATGGCTGGTTTTACCTGCTGTCCACCTGTGACCTTAAATAACCTGAAGCTGGACTCATTTTTATCCTTCATTTTGTTTATTTCATCGTATTTCACGTCCAGCTGCTCGTTTCAGTTGATTTATTGGTTTCATGGGAATGTTTTTGTCATTTAATTAACTTTGCCTCTTTAATATTTAACTGTTTGTGTTCTCTTATTTGTGCATTTTTAGTGCAGCATAACCTCAGTACACCGCAAAAATGTGCAATTTCTTCCTCAGAGTATCTGTTTTTTTTACACAAAGTGCTTTTTTGTTTTTTTTAAATCATGTGTATTTATTTTATTTGCATCATGTATGTTTGTATTTTTTGGTGCTGCTACTCTTACCGTTTTTCCCCCATTTTATTTTATCTTATTTTTTTCAAGTAAACACACAGAGAATCCCAAAGCACCTGTGCTGCAGTGCACTTGTGCAAAAGGCAGTAAAACTCTGTTGTGTTCTTGTGCTCAGTCACATAAACGTAGTGCAGACCGTTAGCGGCTGCTCTTAACCTCCAGCTCTGATACGTTCACTGTGCAGCTGCTGTGTCGACGTGTGTTCCCACCTGCAGCCTCCGACGCCGTTCACTCCATCCTCTGCTCTCTGTTCGTCCTCCAGCGGTCCGGCTCAAGTCAACATCAGCAGCATGCTGGAGCCGCAGGCCGACCGGGTCATGGCGCTCGGAGAATGGGAGGAACGCTGGCACCAGGACAGAACCACATTCCATCAGCCTCACGTGCACAAGTAAAGACCGAACCATCATCCACCTCCTCAGCGCGACTAGAAGGAGAAAAGTCCTCCACGGTTACATAAAGAGCAGATGCAGGTCAGAGATGACGTGGAAACAAATCCAGTATTTGAGAGTCAAATGAGGACGAACAGCAGATAGTTCAGACCCGATCATGCAGAGTCCAGTCTGGAAGTCTGAGCGCTTCACAGATTTACTCTCCACTCATGAAATACGTTGACGTGAACGTGTGAAACAGAAAGTAGATAAAACGGATAAATAACTCAAACATGTGCTCGGACACATCAGAAGTTCAGACAGACAGCGACAGGAATGTGAATAAAAGGCAGTTTAAAATGTTTGCTCTGGTATGTATGGTATAAGATGATCCTTTGTTAATCCCACAGCCAAGAAACATTCAGGAAATATAAGTTAAAAAATTAAAATAAACCAAAATATACATAAAACAGATCGTTTAAGTTCCTCCAAATGGAAACAACAATATTGCGCATATTAATTAAGGCAGGTTTGTTTGTAGAGCACAAAACAATAAGAAGACGATAAAATCAGTCCATAGAAACATAAATATAATCATTAGTTAGAAGAGTCCAGATAAAACACTCCCAGCTGTCACATGAACAGTTTCCAGCCTGGCTGCTGTTCTGCTGACTGAAGAAGACGCTCGGCGCTCTTCTTCTTTGGTGCTTTTATGTGTTTTCTTTCAAGTTGCTGCACCTGCACGGCCTCATGCACCCGCTATTTATTTACTGAAGCTCCACGTGTTCACCTCCAGCAGCAGCTCCTATCTGCTTTCTGCTACTTGAAACCATCACTGTTTTGCACATGTTCAACATCCAGACATGCACCCTCAGCTGCTGTCTTTATAGTTCCTAATCAGGTAAGGTGTCCACCATGACAGGGACTTCTGTGGCGCTTAAGGAGCTCCGAGCTGTGAAGAAAACAAACCCTGGTTTAATAACATCTGTGAAGATCCTCAGTCCTCCAGGTCCTGGTTCTTCTGGTAGTTTAATGGTAGCAGCTGGACCTGCTTGAGTTCCTTGAAGACGTTCCACCTTCATCCAAGAGGCTCCATCAGCTCTGACTGATTGGTTGGGAGTTCCACATCCTGATATCCTGAAGGAGATATTAACACCTGAGTTTGGGTTTTAATTGGAGGTTTGTTGCTCCTCCTCCTCATTATGTGAGTCGTTAGTGCTCCTCCTGACACAACGGGGTAACCACATCCACACCTAGCCACAGCAGACCCTAACGAACTCCACTGTGTCAGAGGGAGCACTAACGACCCACATAACGAGGGGGAGGAGCCACAAACCTCCAGCTGAAACCCAAACTCAGGTGTTTATGTCTCCTTCAGGATATCAGGATGTGGAACTCCCAACCAGTCAGTCAGAGCTGATGAAGCCTCTTGGATGGAGGTGGAACGTCTTCAAGGAACTCAGTCAGGTCCTGGTTTCATGAGCTCATGAGTCTATTTTACGTTGAACAATCATTAAAGTGTCTTTATGAGCACGTAAACATCCGCTGTGCTCCAACAACCTACCGAATGTTTCCATAGATCCATCTAGATTTTATATTTGTGCACCTCTTCCTGTACGTTTAACATGTTGTCTGACTGACAGTAAATTAATTCTGTTCTTTTTCCTCCACAGTTTGCTGGAGAACAACATCGATAAAGTTCTCGCTGGACGATCAGGAGTCCGTTTCTTCTTCCCTCTCTGTGGGAAAGCTGTAGACATGAAGTGGTACGAAGAACCTCAGAGTCCACCAGAAGACATCATGTTTAGTGTTCATGTGTCAGTCAGGAAAAAGAGCTTCTTGGAGATGCTCCACCTTCATCCAAGAGGCTTCTTCAGCTCCAACTGCTTTCTACTGGATTCAAACTGTTCCTTCAGCGCCTGACATCCCATAATGCTCTCCTCTTTCACCTCAGGCTGGCAGACAGAGGTCACCCGGTGGTCGGGGTGGAGATCTCTGAGAAGGCCGTCCGACAGTTCTTTGAGGAGAACAACATGACGTACACCGAGGAGCCTGTAGCCGCCATACCTGGAGCAAAGGTGTTCAAGGTGGGTCACCTGTCGGTCTGGAGGAGACTCTGCTCAGACGGGGTAAAGAGAAGCTGAACACTGGTGGAGAAAACTCACATTTCTGCTTCTCTGTGGTGTGAAAACCATCCAGGAGTGTTCACCAGGTGACTTAAAGACGTTGATTTGAAAAGAAGACGTCATTCTGTGGGACCATTTTATAGGCGAGTCTTTATCTTTGCAACAGAAAAATATTTAAAAAGCAGCAGTTTGGCACCTTTATCATGACAGTGTTGTGTTCTGAGCGACCATCAGATCTGGTTTCGTCATACGGAGGTTTGTGCTTTAATACGGGTGCATCTCAAAAAATTAGAATATTGTGAAGACAATTTTCCATTAGTTTAAAAAATAAATAAAAAGTGATATATTTCAAACTCATGACCAGTAAAGTGAGACATTTTGAGCCTTTTTTGGTTTAAATGGAGGAAACAAACCTCCAGATGAACTGACTGAGCTCCTTTATCTATATATATATAATTCTACGTATTTAATCAGTTCAACCTGGTGACTTTACACTGAAACCATAAGAGCACACTTTGAGCACCTAAAGCCCAAACTCGTCTCGTTTCTGAAAAAGATCAGCTTGTGGTTTCACATTTTTGTGGGGATTTTAAGTGTTTTTGTGTTAATTTCACCTGCTTTTGTGGAGATATTGTGTTGTTTTTGTAGTGATTTTGAGTCCCTATGTGGTGATTCCGGCCGTTTTCCGGTGACTTCACATCTTTTTGTGTTCATGTCACATGCTTTTGTGTAGATACTGTGTGTGTTGTTGTGATTTTTGATTCATTTTGTGGTGATTTCATGTTTTTTTGTGGTGATTTTAAGTCTTTGTGGTATTTTATTTCCGTTGTTCAGACAGAGTTAACAGGCATCACGCTGTGTGTCATGGTTTCTGTCACTGGAGTCGACATTATTTTATCACCACATCAGAAAAGACTTTAAATAAGGAAGTACTGGAAAAAGTCTGCGCTGCTGTGCTACACAATAAGATGATGATAAAAATGATGACGATGCAGGATGTGTTCTGGATAACTGGGCTCAGAAGACCTACAGAATCATTTCCACATGAATTAAACCACCAGTTATTGTGAGAATTAGCTGGACTCACCTGGAAGAGTTTCAGAGAAGCTCACGGACTGAGAGAAGAACTTTGTATTCAGCCTCCATGTGTTCTGTCTTTGTTCCACAGAACTCAGAGAAGAACATCTCCCTCTACCAGTGCGACCTGTACAACTTCTCCAGGTGAGCGAGCCACGCCTGGTTTCATCCTGTTTGAAGGCTGAATGACTTTAATCACTTTCTCTGGACTTCACAGGTCAGTGGAGGGTGAGTTTGGAGCGATCTGGGACAGAGGATCTCTGGTGGCCATCAACCCCCGAGACAGAGAAAAGTAGGAGATCTGAGCTGGTTTTACACTTTTAGACAGAAAAACTACACTTGACTCATTCATTGTTCTTCTTCATGGACTCTGCAGATACGCTGCTCTCATGATGTCCCTGATGGCCACAGACTGCAGATACCTTCTGGACACGCTGCTGTACAACCCTACGCTGTATAAAGGTGCGTCTTCATCAGGAACGTCAGACAGAAGCTGGTTGTTTTCATTTGTTTTGCTCTTTAAACGTGACGTCTGAACGCTGCTCTGGACCGTCTGTGTCTGGCAGGTCCTCCGTTCTTTGTGCCGGATGAGCAGGTTCACGATCTGTTCGGTGAGTTTGATTTAAAACGACTTCTAAACAGAACAAAGTGGATTTCAGGTGAATTTGCTCAGAAATATGTTGTGGTTTAATAAAGCTGCTAATTCACTGTGGATCAGCTTCATTCTGTCCGTCTGCTGCTGATTTTACGTCTTCTGGTGATTTTTAGTCTGTTTGTAGTAAATTTGCATCGTTTCGTGGTGATTCAGCTTCTTTCTGGTGATTTAATTTCTTTTTGTAGTGATTTTGATTGTTTTTGTAATAAATTTATTTATTCTATTTTGGGTTTTTTTTTGGTCTTTTGGGATGATTTCAGATACAATCATAATTTATATTCTGAGTATAATGAAAATATGTTTAAATATGTAAATTAGGTGCAATATATGTAAAAATGCAGTAATTTGCAATCATTTCTTTCTTCCTGTGAGTCTTTTTGTGATCAGTTTGCATCGTTGTGTCGTGATTTCTTTTCTTTTTCTGGTGATTTTCAGTCTTTTGGCTGCAATCCTGATTCATTTAGTTAAAAATCTAACTCATGTTTATGTGTGTTAAAATGCTCTAGTTTGCATTTATTTCTAGAACAGAAACCTTAAAGTTCTTGTTCTGCTCTGAGGGGATTCTGAACGTGTCCCTTTATCACTAAACATTTGTTTTTCCTTCTCAGGGAGCAGCTGTGACGTCGAGCTGCTGCAGTCGGTGGACGCTCTGACGGACCGACACAGGAACTGGGGACTCGACTTCCTGACCGAAAAAGTTCACCTCATCACGCCGAAGACCCGCTGAGCGACTCGGAGCGACTAGAAGAGCAGATCTCAGGTTAAATCCAGGTCCTCGGTTTCATCGGGAACAACAAGCTCTAAAAACTGTTCATTAACTCGTGAACTTTGATGAAACCTCAGAGGATGAATCGAGAGAATAAAAAGGAAATAAAACACGTTTTGTATCAAACAGATCTTTGTGGCTTTTTTTTAAAAACCAGTTTGGCAGCTTTTTAGGTCTGATTTACATATTTAATGTCCCTGTTTTTAAATAATGCTTAAAGAAGCTTATCATACAGACAGACTGGAGCCTGGAGACCTTGGTGCTTTGTAATATTCAAAGACTGAACTCACATTTTGTGGTGTTCAAACAGCTGCTAGAAGTGACCTGACAGCTCCATGTCATGGCCCCATGCTGTGCA